ATGTGTTACGATTTCGCGTTAGGATTAGGGTGTATTCCGAAATATAAACCAGTACGCTGGCCAGTGGTAATGACGTCATGATTTCGACGCCATATTGCACTAGTTTAGTAGTAGTGTTGTCAATCATCATCATCATCATCATCAGCCTTGTAGTATCCCCACTGCTGGGGCACAGGCCTTCCCTATGGATGGAATAGGGAGTTTGGGCCATGACCCACCACGCGGGACCAGTGCGGATTGGTGGGTGCTAACGACTGTAGATGCAGCCGGGACCAACGGCTTAACGTGCCTTCCGAAGCACGGAGGAGCTCGAGATAGTGAATTTTTGGTCACCCATCCAATGACCGACCACTACGAAAGTTGCTTAACTTCAACGATCGCAGCCGAACGCGCTAACCGCTTGCGCCATCAAGCTCTTCAAGTGTTGTCAATATGGCGTCGAAATCATGGCGTCATTACCACTGGCCAGCGTACTGGTGTTTGATTCGGAATACACCCTTAGTGTCATCGGTGACTCATCGGTAAACAATGAACAATACCTGTCAAAACATACATGAATCTACTGTTTGGTGGGTGATAACGGACCCAGCACGGATTGGTGGGTGATAACGGACCCAGCGCGGATTGATGGGTGATAACGGACCCAGCGCGGACTGGTGGGTGATAACGGACCCAGTGTGGACTGGTGGGTGATAACGGACCCAGTGTGGATTAGTGGTTTTTTTTCTATCATCAAATGTTTAGGTTAAGTTTATGATTTTCAGATTATTGGAGCTAAAGAAGTTTCACTTCAGTCGTGTGGTCATAAGCCCACTCGCTTTTTTTTATTTTTTTCTAGTAATTTTTTTAGAGCAGGTACATGCTAAAAAATAGAAATAATAATAATCAAAATCATTTATTTAGTTTAGGCTCCGTTGTTTTAAGCACTCATGAATGCCTAAAAGCTACGCCATCGGTTCGTAAATCTATGGCGGGAAATCTTGTACTGAGAAGAACCGGCAAGAAACTCAGCAAGGGCTGTTTTTTTCTCCCTTTTTGATTATTTACAGAGTAGCCAAGTTGAAAATTAACTTCAGATTTGATTACTGAAGGCACCTTTCATTACATAATGATTAAATATACATTAATTGGTTACCTGCATTTTAATTGCTGTGTCAAACAGTATTAATACTGTTAAGTATGGTATACTTTTATATATTTTATTTCTATGGCAACACTGTATTACTTGTTCCTTCCGGTGACATTACTGTAACTTTACGTTTGTGCTCTTCAATATAATAAAAAACAAATGTATAAAACAAATCCAGTTTTATTGCCAGCAATTCATAATTAACAAATACAAATAGCGTTATTTATATTAAGTGTTACTAAACATTAACATCTACAATATCAAGGAAGTTAGGGCAGACTCGTCTCCGCTGGCAGCACCCGTTCACGAGCATGACGTATGAACCAGCCATCGCTCCGCTCAACCTTATTTTAGGGAACGTAACGACCCGCCTCACACGACACCACCGAAGAGACTTTTAAGAGAACATGACTACTCATAACCTCCCATACTAACTACAACATATTTACTTAAAAATAAGGTCATTTACCTGTAGAACACTGCAAACAATTACAAAAGCAGAAGCAATGGAAAAATCACGACCACGCCGTTTTGTCATTCAAATGTTCCATGTAAACAAAGAGGAGCATATATTGATTGTTGATCGCTAACTCTTTACACTGCGGCGAGAACTCTTGTGGCGGCGACATCTATATGTCCCACATATAACTAACATGGAAGAAACAATCTTACGCCTCCTCAAGAGACGGCATTACCGGTGCTGCGTTCACAACGTATGGAAGCCTACATCGCGCAAGAGAAATTCGGAGCCAAACACTCCATATATACGATGCCCGACCAATACAGTCGGGCCGCGGCCACCGAACTACCACCACCCAGCTCGGTGGAAGATCTTCCCGTTTGGCCTTCCCACATTCTCTCCTCTAGGTTGTTGCTGAGCAACAAGAGCTATCAAAGATAACTTGCTCAACTCAACTAAGGGATGCTCACTTGGCTCAAAACGCACCTGCGTGCATTTCCGCTGAGGTTTGTTCGCCAGCGAGTGGCGCTGGTAATCGTCCGGCGAATTCACATACTCGCTTATGGCCCAGCGATAAAACTATCAAAACTGCACACTCACTGCTCGCCAACTGTTTTCTAGTTTCTAGCTCTAAGTCGGTTCTAAGTTTGACGACCTCCGTGGTCGAGTGGTTTGTACGCCGGGTTTCATGGTGTCGCCGACTCGAGAGGTCCCGGGTTCAAATCCCGGTGGGGACAGATGTTTGTGTGATGAAAACGAGCAGTTTGTACTCCAGTCATGGATGTTGAATATGTATTTCTATAAAAATATAGTTATATATGTACTGTATATGTATTCTATCCGTTACCCTAGTATCCCATAACACAAGCCTTACAGTGCTTACTTTGGGGCTAGACTAATTGGTGTGAGTGTTGGAAATATTTATTTATATTTATATTTCTATGTTGTAAGTCGTTGTAGCGGGATATTCATCACATTAAAAAAAAACATAAAATGTAAATATCCAATCATTTTGGAGATTTCACTTAAACAAATTAAGTTTCAAACTTCAAACGGACTTAACAAATGGCTGTAGGTAGAAGTTAAGTACTACATTTGTTAGAAAAACTTTTCTCAGCATTAAGAAGCTCAGAGAATGCGAATCGAAAGAAGGGAAACTCCAGGACTTTTTTTTAAGAATCTAGAAAACATTCGTAAACAAGGGAATAAATGAATGGGCAGTAACATTTTTGTTGAATAAACTGTATATTATACAATTTAATATAATATGGTTGACCGAATATCGTATTTTTTTTTTCGAAAATACGTTCAAATCATTATTTAGTGACGTGGAATTAATTGTAGACATTATTAAAATGAGGAGCTCGATGGTGTAAGTGGTTAGCGCGTTCGGCTGCGATCGTTGAAGTTAAGCAACTTTCGCAGTGGTCGGTCATTGGATGGGTAACCTAAAATTTACTATCTCGAGTTCCTCCGTGCTTCGGAAGGCACGTTAAGCCGTTGGTCCCGGCTGCATCTGTAGTCGTTAGCACCCGCCAATCCGCACTGGGCCCACGTGGTGGGTCCTGGCCCAATCTCCCTATTCCATCCATAGGGAAGGCCTGTGCTCCAGCAGTGGGGTCATTAATAGGCTGATGATGATGATGATGATTATTAAAATATAAAACAAGAAAACCGGTCAAGTGCGATGCGATGCGAAAGGTTTGTATGTAAGTATGTTTGTAACGAATTGGCTCAAAAACTACGGAACCGATTTTAAAAATTCTTTTACCATGTGAATACTACATTATCACTGATTAATATAGGCTATAGTGTATTTTCAAAAAAGTTAGGGTTCCGTATGAAAACTTCGATAATGTAACCCAACGTGTAAAAAATACCTAAAAGTAGTCTTATATCGCGTACGCTGTGGAAGTCATTGACAATAGAGCAAAGTGATGTACTAAAGTTTTATAGAGGATACCAATATCTGCAAAAAAGTCCGCGATACCATAATGTCCAATTATTACAGTTATAGTTATGATTTTATTTATTTTTTAAACATTTAACTGCTAGATGTTTAAATCTAAAGAAAAGTTTACTAGAAAAAAGTCCACGCGGACCAGGCAGCGGACGGGATTCGAACCCGCATCCTTCGCTATCCGGGCGAATGCACTGACCATTATGCTACCTACAATGCGAAGAGATGGCGCTGCCTTGCAGCTTAAGGCTAGGAAAATTACGACGCGGCTAATAGGGCCTTGGTAGCATAATGGTCAGTGCATTCGCCCGGATAGCGAAGGATGCGGGTTCGAGTCCCGTCCGCTGCCTGGTCCGCGTGGATTATTACAGTTACGAGTATGTCACAACTAGAGGTCCCCTGCGATTTCACCCGCGTTAATTTGAAGAAAAAGATTTATAGTGAGTCAAACTTAAAATATAGATATAGGCTGTCGTGGGCTTTTTAACAGAATTTTTAAAATTTTTAGTTTACCCAGCGCACGCAACGGAATCTCACAAATGGAATTTTTCATCGATGCTCCACTGCTGGTCGTAGCCGGGTAATAATAGCCTTCCTCGTTATATGCACTGTCCAATACAAAAACAATTTTTCAAATCGGAACAGCAGAGCAATGTTGCATTCGGTACAACGGGTCCTAAACTACGCAACATTTTTTTTTACTTAGAATGGAAGGTTTATAATTATTATGAAGAAGGTGATTGTGTATAATACAAGCCTTTGAACAAAAACTATAGTATACACTACAGCTCAAAAATGAAGTTAACAAAATCCCTTTGCTTATAAACACGCCTAGATATAGCAATCCAAATACACCACGCACAGAAAACAGCTCATGCAATGCGCAATGTGTGTGTAACTCTTATGTCAGATTGTTTGAAAGCCGTCGATGTGTGTGTGTAGCGACGACGGTATCTACTATAATTATGTAGTAGATATTATTAAAAAATGTGTGTAAATTACCTAACATTAGGCGGTGCAAAAGGCATAGGGGAAGGGAGCAGCGCACGCTTCACTCATATATATATATATATATATATATAAATAAATATATATATATAGTCGCGTGTGACACTCGTGACGCACGTAGCATTTTAGCGTTCGCCGAGTTACCTTCCAACTTTCATGCTCATCGGGAAGAGCTGCGCACGCTTACCAAACATACACACATATGTACATATATGTACACATATATATATATAGTCGCGAGACGCTCGTAAGGCATTTTCGTTTCATCTTTTTCATAAGATTTTTCCACTCCGAAAAGAAGTTTCACTTCACTTCAGTTTTTTCACAAAAAAAACGTAGCGCACAGCTCATGAAGCTTAGCACCTGCGTATTTTACTCATGTATGACTACAAGTATCTACACTGTGATGAAGTTAATAAATACCCTTTTTCGTTTGTCTACAGGAGAATGGCGAGGCGAGAGACGAATGCTGGACATCACCAGAGACAAGCCGGTCAAAGTGTGCGTGCGGGTCGTGGTACCGGTACGAGACCATCCAAAGGTAAGGAACAGTACCCCTAGCAGGAACCATTATCGAATTCGAATAGTTTGCGAGTGCGAAATGTCAATGTCAAATGTTGTATAGAAAGTTGAATAGACGCGCCACAAAGTTCGTAACGAGAACTAAAAATTAGTACACATTTGACAATGACATTTGGCTCTCGTTAATTATTCGAATTCTATATTGGGTCGAGCTTAGGGTACTTACTATTCTACTGTTACTATAAGTTTACGGGAATGTAAAAACGATACATGCTTTGTTGTTATTTTTTTAAACATTTACCTGCTAGATAAATAAATATTTCCGACACTCACATTAGCCTAGCCCCAAAGTAAGCACTGTAAGGCTTGTGTTATGGGATGCTAGGGTAATGGATAGAATACATTTACTGTACATTTATAAGTATATTTATATAGAAATACATATTAAACATCCATGACTGGAGTACAAATGCTGATGAGTACAGATGATTCGAACCCGGGACCTCTCGAGTCTGCGACACCATGAAACCCGGCGTACAAACTACTCGGCCACGGAGGTTGTCAAGATGTTTATATCTAAAAAAAGTTTTACTAGAGAAAATTCCACGCGGACCAGGCAGCAGACGGGACTCGAGCCTGCACCCTCCACTATCCGGGCGAATGCACTGACCATTCTGCTACCGCGGCCCTAATTGTCGGTGTAGAATTTTCTCTAGCATTTAGTAAGCTCCAAGCAAGCGCCATCTCTTCGCATTGTAGGTAACCCACAAAGCCAAATAAACACCTTTACAAGTATTAAACATTTCAAAGAAGAAATAGTTTTTTTTGTTAGGTTTTCACGCACATCACTCATTAAAATAAAACTAGTTTTAACGGGTTAATGCACGAACTTTATTTATTTATTGACGTTTCGCAGGCTTTTGAGGTCTGCGTCATCAGAATAATGTTTTTTTTTTATTTACTTTGTCGAGCTACCTTCGAAAGAGCGTTTGGATATTTCATTGGAAGATTTTTGAAACTTTATTGTCTATGTATGAATTTATTAGTTAATAAATTACTTTATTTAAAATTGTTGTTTGTAATTTTGAGTTTATTTATTTGACCCTAGCTAACACCGTTTCCAAAATTGGGAGACCATTCTGAGAAGAACCGGCGAAACAAACTCAGGGAAGCTTTCTATCACGAAGAAATAGTTATATTGTTATTCTTTGAGCATTTACTCATGTGCTAATAGTTCAGTATTGCTTACGTCAATTTCAACGATAATACATTAATATTAATGTATTTACCTACACTATATTGACCTATTTAAGAATATATTGACCTGTTTAGGTCAACATATTCTTTCTCTATATTTTGTTCTTTTTATACATTATATTATACGCGTTCCAAGACTTATGCAATTTGAAGGGGAACCAGAGTTTTTATATATATACTAGCGGACCCAACAGACGTTGTCCTGTCTGCACGTCTTTGTGAATCTAAACCATTCTCAGATCCCCTTGAACACACACAAAAAATTTCATCAAAATCGGTCCAGTCGTTTAAGAGAAGTTCAGTGACATACACACTCACAGAAGAATTATATATATAAAGATATATTATTTTCTTCAATATATGTATATATTCATTTTTTCATAGTGTCAAGTTGCAAACAGGATACGCGTTCCAACAAAATTCGTTATAACCAAATAGAGCTAGGTTATTAAATAAGGCTAATTAATTGTGTGTTACATACAATTAACTATCTGACATAAACGAACTAGCCGAAAGTTCCGAACACCTCCGCCGTGAGACTATTACGGACCCTGTGTTTTTTCACTATCACATCAATTCATCAGCAGAAGAACCGCGCAAAGTAATGACCCCACATGGGCAACGTCGCGGGATACAAAGATGCCGCCATATATCAGGGGCCGCATCAACCCGCCTCTTGTTACGCCAAATAGAGCCAGCGTATACGTGCTTGTAATTTTTCCTTTAATAGTCCTAGAGCTAGGATACATCCTGATACGATATAGATTTGTATGTATGTATCTTTATAGATATGTATTTTATGCAGTATATATTATATATGTAATACGTATTGTTTCTGTAGATACACTTTAATTATATTAAATATTTTAATGAATTCTTTTTGCACTACCATCTTTAAATATTTGCTATAATTCTCCGGTTGACTGGTAGAGAATGCCTAATGCCATTAAGTCCGCCACTTGTACACTCATTTGTGCAATAAAGTATAAATAAATAAATACATTTTTATTGTTGAAAGGGCGCTAACAAGCATATGGTCCGCCTGGCGGTAAGCGGCCACTATAGCCTACAGATGCTTTCCCGGTCGGACGTTCCAATTCTAGCGGACAATCAGCTCTGAACTTAACATTTACTTATTTATAAGGAGCTCAAGCGGTTAGCGCGTTCCGTCTGCGGTCATGAAAGTTAATCAACTTTCGCAATGGCCAGTCATCAGACTGGTGACCAAAAATTAGTAAATTTTTGTTCACCCCTCCGTGCTCATCCGTGCTTTGAATAGTAAGGTAAGCCAATGATCCCAGCTGTATCTGCATTCGTTAGCACCCACAAATCCACACGGGGCCCGCATGGTTGGTCATGACCTAATCTCCCTATTCCAACCATAGGAAATGACTGAGCCCCAGTAGTGGACATTACTAGGCTGATGATGATGATTATAGTTACATCAATGCAACTAATTATGCATAATTTTTAAACTTGTTAAACAACATTCGACAGTAAAAATATTAAATTTTACAAAAGTAAAACTAAACAATTCAATAGATTTATTAAAAACATTACAATTATAATTATAAATACAAATTGTTAGTAAATACAATCATAAATGATACTGACATCGATAACTTCTTGGTGACCAATCCCATGATTATAATAAATATCAATACAACAGTTATGTAAATAAATAACTAGAATAGAACCAGCAAAACTATTTTATACGTAACATTTTTAAGGGTTATCCTTTGGGTTCCTATCCCTTGTACTATAAATACATTTTTCCTTAAAAAAATAGTATGAATTCGGCCAACATCAAAGGCGTTTTGTTACAAAATTGATGTCCGAATTCCGTGCTTCATCTCGGTGTCATCATTATCTGTGACGTATTGTCTAATATTTGGTTTCAATAAGTTCATATGAGCCTTCTCTTTGTCATTTGTGGTTGCGTTTATGTGACAACTAACGGCCGCCTACGACTACGTCCGTATGAACTTTGTTTTTTTTTAATCTTACAGGAATCTATATTGTTTCGGGATAAGAAGTATCCTATGTCTCGATCCAGGGCATAAACTATATGCATACAAAATTGCATCCAAACCCTATCAGTACTTTTTGCGTGATTAAGTAACTAACATACAAACACACCAACATACAATTTTTCACATTTAAATGTTAAGAAAACTTAAAGAAAAGAAGAAATCTTTGGTATCGCAAATGATGGTAACCGTTTACCAACAGGCGAGAAATTTACTTCTTATGTGCAATATTTTAACTTCATCACTTAAACTATTTAGGTACTACTTTATTAAAGCAATTTAATAATTTAAATAAAAAAAAACCGGCCAAGTACGAGTCGTACTCTCGTAGGAAGAGTACTGTTATACTTATTATAGGTTTTCCTGTAAACTGAAAGCTTTTAATTTTCAACTTTTTTCTTAAATAATTTTAAAAATATTCATTTTACATTTGTAAATAAATATATTTTCGTAACCAATACATTTAGCCATTTCATTTGATATCATCATCATCAACCTATTAATGTCCCCGCTGCTGGGGCACAGGCCTTACCTATGGATGGAATAGGGAGATTGGGCCATGACCCACCACGCGGGCCCAGTGCGGAATGGTGGGTGCTAACGACTGCAGATGGAGCCGGGATCAACGGCTTAACGTGCCTTCCGAAGCACGAAGGAGCTCGAGATAGTAATTTTTGGTCACCCATCCAATTACCGACCACTGCGAAAGTTGCTTAAGTTCAACGATCGCAGCCGAACGCGCTGACCACTTGCACCATCGAGCTCCTCATTTGATATATAACACGGTAAAGTAAGCTAAAACTTTAATTGACAATTTTCTATTTCACTCCCCAAATTAACTCTCAGATTCGGAATTTATTTATTTACTTTGTTCGCCCGTGTTTGGGTCAGAGACATACATTGTTTGTACCAAATTCCAACTTGATCTGTCTAGTAAGGTTTCCATTTTTGCCGATTGAGGTACTGAACCCTAAAAATACAATATGGTAGGTAGGTACATAATATTAATTTAATGTTTCATAAAATAAAATTCAATATCAAAATTCTTACGCTGAATATAATATCATATACCGCGCTACGGAACGTACTAAATGCCACCCAGCTACGTGCTACGAGCATCGTAGCAGCTGCTACGACGTAACGGCGTAGAGTATGAGGTGTTTATCTAAAATGCTTCGATTTAATGAAATTTTCATCGAATAGGTGCATAAAGGCAAACTGTGTTTCTGGTTATTTGAAATGATCAAAGTTTAAAGTGAAAATACTTTTCGATATTCGATAGATAAGTTAAGTTCGGGAGGGCAGATGTTCTTCCTTCTCTTGGGGAACATTCGCCTTACACACAACTAAATTCAAAATTTGCTTTGAAAAAGGCCTCTGTAGTAATTGTTTTGAATTTTTAATCGACTTCATAAAGGAGGAAGTTCTTAATTCATCAGTTTGTGAAGTGAAACTTATTTAGGCAAGCTTGACTTGGAAAGAAGACACTACAAGACGCCTACAGGCATTCGAGATGTGGTGTTACCGTAGCATGTTACGCATTAGTTAGACGCAGAGGGTCAGGAGCGAAACCGTGCTTCAGCGCGTTCATATGTCCCGGAAAATGTTGCCTTCTATCAAAAAGCGCAAGATAGAATATCTTGGCCACGTGCTCAGGAACAACAGATACATGCTGCTCCAGTTGATCTTCTTCTTAGTCGGGCACTCTTGTCAGAGTGGTCGTGGTTGCACT